TATTGGCCGGCCGGACGCCCGGGCGCCTCGCGCGTCACGCGCCGTGGGGCTCCCCGGCAGGGGCGGGGCCGTACGCACGAAGCAGCAGGGGCCAATCGGAAGCCGCTTGGCGCGGCCGTGCCCCGCCCCTCGCCGCCCGCCCGAATTCGGTCGCCCTGGCAACGGGTTACGCTGCGGAAAGGCGGAGACTGCAGACCCGCGACCAGAGGTGTTCGTTTTTCTTCACGTGTGTGCCCTGTCAATATGTTTCAATTGCTTGCATGTGAATATGTTTAGTAGAAGTATGTCGCAGACAGGATTGCCGGATTAAACAAATGAAAATACAGGACGCCAGTTAGGCTTGAATTTCAGATAACAATGGATTTTTTTTTTAGTATCAGTGTTTTATATCTAGTATATTTAGAAAAACATTTGACATAAATATATTAGTATAAGTAATTTTCACGTTACTATGTTCCACGGTGTATGCTCCCTAGTAGGACTGCCAGGATGAGTAAACAAAAAGAAAGCTCTGTGAAATGTAAATGACTGATAAGCCACGAATACATTTCAGGCCGGGCTCGGGGGCTCAGCCCGTCATCATCTCAGCGCTTTGGGAGGCCGAGGTGAGTACATTGCCTGAGCCCGCGGGGTTCGAGACCAGTCCGGGCAACTTGGCGAGACCTCATTTATACAGTCAAAAATTAGCGGGGCGTGGTAGTGCTCGCCTGGAGTTCCTGCTACTTAGAAGGCTGAGGCGGAAGGATCCCCAGAGCCCAGCTGGTCGACGCTGGGTGGCTGTGAGCGTGCCACTGCACTCCAGCCTAGGTAACGGAGTGAGACTCCAACTAAAAACAAACAAAAACAAACATAATCCCGCGCCTTTGGGAGGCTGAGGTGAGTGGATGGCCTGAGCCCGCGGGTTCGAGACCCGCCTGGGCAGCGAGACCTCATCTCTACAATAAATAAAAAAAATCAGCTGGGCGTGGTAGCGCGCGCCTGTAGTTCCGGCTACTCGGAAGGCTGAGGCGGAAGGATCGCCGGAGCCCAGCAGGCAAGGCTGCGGGGGCCGGGAGCGGTCACTGCACTCCAGTCTGGGTGATAGAGTGAGACTCCAACTCAAAAAAAAAAAAACCAAAACAAACAAACAAACAAAAAAACAAAAAAACGTTTCAGTATGTGTCCCATATGTTGTATATTTTAAATAAATTTTATATAAATATATTTCTAGAAATAATTTGTAATATAAAAATATTTACAATATGAGTGTATGCTAGAATAGGGCTGCCATATTTAGCAAATAAAAATGTAGGACAAAACCTAGTTAAATTTGAATTTCAGATAAATAATGAGTAATTTTTTAGTGTAAATATGTCCCAACAGTATTTTTGAAATATGCTTATACCATATACTATATTAAATACTTAGTGTATATTAATATAATTATGTTCCAACATATATTTGGAATATACTTATGCTGAATTCTAATACCAATTCCTCTTCTAAATACTTTTGGTATATTATAAGTACATTTAGCCGGGCTCGGTGGCTCAGCCTGTAATCCCGCACCTTTGGGAGGCTGAGGTGAGTGGATTGCCTGAGCCCGCGGGTTCGAGACCCGCCTGGGCAGGCAAGACCTCATCTCTACAATAAATCAGAAAATCA